TGTCTGTCTGTCTGTCTGTCTGACTCTCTCTCTCTCTAATAAATCCTACTGCGTTTGGATTTTATTCTTCAACATTTGGGAGACAAGAGCCCAGCAGCCAAGTGCAGAATCCAGTTCCCCCTCAGAGCTCCTGTTGGATCTCAGGAGCAGTCTTGTCCCCCGAGAGAGCCGCCTTCGCCTGTCGCTCAGGGTGTCCCCTCAGATCTGGGATCCTGCAAAGGGGCCGACTCAGTTCCAGAAGACAACTGCACCCATTAATCCTGGAAGGTGTGGAATGGTGACTGCAGTCGCCCAGGTGTCCCTGCAGGGAACTGAGACGGGAGGCTGCCACCTGGGCTCAGGTCAGCACTGAAATAGTAAAGGGGACAGACCGTTGTTGATGGAGCAGACACGCCAAGCTGTGCCCTGCTCTGGCGGAGGCCAGGCCACTCATGGGTGTAAAATGAAGTGATAAGAACACCATCAGGAGAAGGCCGTGCTGGGAGAGGGTTGCCCCGGCCTGGCCAGCCCTTCCACAGGAAATCCAATTAGCCCCAGGCCCCTACTTTGGGATTGTGAAAACCGTCCAGAGCCGCCTGTTCCCTTTGAAGTGTCCTCTCCTTGTCCTTCCTGCTTCTGTAAACAGCTTCCCACTAGAACCCCCACGGGGCGGCCTCTGTCATGGAGACAAACAGCCTGTGAACTCCACTTCCTTAGGGGTCTGGTCTCCTCCCCAGGTGCCCTTGTGCTCTCCTCTGCTTCCTGACACTCTTGGTCCCCCAGAGGGCATCTGGCAGCCCGAGAGTCACTGCCTTCCACACTTCAGCCTTTCTAAGCCCCTGTTAAGACCCTCGTGCGTGTCACCCGTTTCCTTGGGCTGGTAGGAAGGCATCAGAGGGTGGCACAGGCCTGCGGTCCCAGCAACTGGGGAGGCAGGGACAGAAGCCTCCGCAAAGCCGCCAGACCGCGTCTGAAAGTAAAAATCAAATGTCAAAGGGCTGGGACGCGGCTCCGTGGTTAAGCACCCCTGGTTCCAACCCTGGTACCAAAACAAAACACAAGACAGGCCCCGAGGGCCACGAGGTCTGCTCACGTTTGTGGGCGCTCAGTGGTGAACTCAGGGCCACCACAGCAGAGCCACCAGAGGACAGGAGGGGCTGCCGCTCAGGTCCGGCCTTGGCGGGGGGAGCCCCCTCGGCCCCTCTTCCCAGCCCTGAGCAATCACGTCCTGGGTTATCACTTCAAAGGCTTTTTTTAGACAGTCGCCCCAAATGCTCTGAGTGTCTGTCTTCATTCTTTGCTTTCTGAAATTTCAAGAACAGTAGGTTCCAAGAGATGGCCAAGTCCTTAGTGTCACACAGCAGGTCAACTGAAATCCACAGGTAACAGGGCCAAGAGGAGCACCCAGCGCTCCCGGGGACCCAGCACTCCCGGCCCCACAAGGCACCGCCATGGTGTGAATGCAATTCTGTTGGGGGACAGATAGATGAGGACGCTGGGACACCAGGTTGAGGGAGTAATTCTATAAAGTGGCCGCCGCTGTGCTGATCCCACACATGATTTCTGTTCCAGAAGCAATCTGCCTGCAGCCCTGCCTGGCTTCCATGGACAGGCCACCTGGACCTGCAGGGGAAATGCCGCCAAGGTAATGCCGAGGGGAGGACCCAGGAGGATACTGTGACGGGATCCTGAAATCCTCCCCACAAAACCTGGGAGAATGTGTGCTTAAGAATCCAGTTAGAGGGCTGGGCTGGGGCTCAGGGGCAGAGCACTCACCTAGTGCGTGGGAGGCCCTGGGTTTGAGCCTCAGCACCACATAAAAAAATAAATAAATAAAGGTATTGGCTCCAACTACAACTAAAAAAAAGAAAGAAATATTTTAAAAAATCCAATTAGAGGGCTGGGGCTGTAGCTCATTGGCAGAGCACTTGCCTAGCATGTGTGAGGCACGGGGTTCAATCCTTAACTCTGCGTAAAACAAACAAATAAAGGCATTCTGTCCATCTACAACTAGAGAGAGAGAGAGAGAGAGAGAGAGGGAGAGAGAGAGAGAATCCAATTACAACCGGTCAGTATGGGCCAAGGTAACCTAGAATCACCATGAGAGTAGGGACTTGAAAAATCTAAGGTTGTCCTTCTGTCAGCCAAAAGTCAAGAAGTGGACGTGGGCAGGACTCTCTGGAAACTTCTCTGGGACCCCCAATAAAACTGGGATGCAGGAGAGACAGACTCCCCCTCTCCTCTCTGAGAGGACCCACCCTCTCCCTTCAGAGGGTCTCCTTTCCTTCCCTCCCCTCCAGAGGTTACTGGGGATTGAACTCGGGGCCCTCGACCACTGAGCCACATCCCAGCGCCATTTTGTATTTTATTTGGAGACTGGGGCTCACTGAGCTGCTTAGTGCCTCGCTATGGCTGAGGCTGGCTTTGAACTCGAGATCCTCCTGCCTCAGCCTCCCCAGCTGCTGGGATGACAGGCGTGGGCCACCACCCCTGGCCCCCTTTCGTTTTTCTCTGTCCCTTCAATAAACTCCTTCCTGTTACTCTGAGTGACATGTCTGAAATCTGAGTTGGTCACAAGAATCAGGGCTTGAAGGGGGTCTTCACACTGCCTCAGTTTCTCAGAAGGCCCCAGCTCTGTAACAATCGTCCCCAACAAATTCATGGTGACGCCTGGTGCCCAGGGTGGCAGTGTGAAAATGCCCTGAGGACCTCCAGGGGCGTGTGGTTGGGGGGCCTTCAGGAGGCGGTGGACCCCTCTCCAAGTGCTGGGGGAGGTCTCCAGGTGGCGACCGACGTCACTGGAAACAGCATGTCATTCCCTTGGTCCCCCTTCCCCTCTTCCCAAGGTGCTCTCAGTGAGGGGCTGGGGTCTCTCTCTTAGAAGAGACCTAAGCCGAGTGCCGTGGCTCATTCTGCAATCCCAGCAACTCAGGAGGCTGAGACAGGAGAGCCCCAAGTTCAAGGCCAGCCTTGGCAATTTAGTGAGGCCACTGGGCTGGTGGTGCACGCCTGTCATCCCATCGGCTCAGGAGGATCGGGAGTTCAAAGCCAGGCCCAGCACTTGGATCTTTAGGAAGGCCTCGTCATGGGTCAGGCTGACCTACTGGTTCCCTCACCTGCCTGTATAAGAGGAGGAACTTTGAGGTTCCACGCACACCTCTCCCCCAAAACACTGTCCACAATGTCAAGTGAAATTTTGTACCTTTGTAGTCACTTCCTCTTGGTTCAGGTAAAGGACAAGGGCTCAGTCAAAGTCCAGATGTGTCAAGTGAGATTCCTGGGGTCGGATGCAGTTCTACCTCGGGCTGGAGGACCTGTGAGCTCGCCACTATTCTGTCCGCCCTTCTTCAGCCTCACTCATCATCCAGCTCAGAGGTCACTTCCTACAGGTGGACCTCACTCCTGCCTACACCCAAACCACCTCTGACTCATGTTAAGATTCCTCTGAGTTCCCATGTCCCTTATCTTTAATTCCTACAGATTCAAAGTATAGCTCAGATGACAAGAGCACAAGGTTCAGCATCAGCAGATATAACTGACCTCCATTCCTCCCTAGCTGTGTGAGCTTGAGCCAGTTGATTAACCTCTCTGAACCTATCTCCTAATCTATAAAATGGGAACAATAAAGAAGTTCTACCTCCTAGGAGCATTGTTTAAGGTCAGTACCCAGTGAGTGGGTGATGCCTATTGAGCAGCCCATGCCCAGCCCAGTATGAAGCACCATGATTACATGAGAATTTACCTGTGAGGGCTTTAGAACAGATAAAACCTGGAAGGAAATAATATGATGGGTGATTAGCATTGTCATCCCTTCTCACACTGCCTGTGATAAATTGTCAGTTATCTGCCTGATTGTGGAGAAAAAGGGTATGTCCTTTCCTCTCTCTCCCTGAGGCTTGGCAGACAGCAGATGCCTGATAACATCCCTTACACAAAATTATCAAGCCCCTGCTGGTGGGCCCTACACGCTACAAAAGTTCTCAAAAGCCTCTCCTCCCCTTTGCAGAAAGCACCCTCAGCTGGTCTGGAAGCTCTCAGGCAAGCTTCTGCTCACCTCCATAAAGGGGCAGATATTCAATACTTGAGGTTCTGTGGCCCACACACTCTCTGTGGCAACCATTTAATTCTGACCTGGTAGCAGTCGTAGGTAATAGGTCAGTGAGTAGGTGTGGTTGTACTCCATTAAAACTATTTACGGACGGTGGAATTTAAAATTACTGTTTTCACAAGAAATGAAACTTTTTTTCCCCCTCCCAATCACTTGAAAATGGAAAAACAAAAGCCGGGCGTGGTGGTGCTGTCCTGTAATCCCAGCGGCTCCAGAAGCTGAGACAGGTGGACAGCAGGTTCAAATCCAGCCTCAGCAATTTAGCGAGGCCCTAAGCAACTCAGCGAGACCCCAGTCTCTCAATAAAACATACAAAAAGGCTGCGGATGTGGCTCAGTGGTTGAGAGCCCCTGGCTCAATCGCCGGTACCAAAAAAGAAAAGGAAAAACAATTCTTAGTTTACTAGCTGTTCAAAAACAAGGGACTGGGCTGCAGGTGTGGCTCAGCGGTGGCGGCTGGCTGCTTGGACTCGGGGACCTCGCTCGAGCGAGCCCACCGGGCTTCTCCCGCTTCAGCGAGCCAGACGGAGCTCCTGGTGGGCGGTGTCGGGAGGAGGGCCTCGGATTGGGCCTGGCGGAGTGGGCGGGGACGGGGGTGGGGCACCGTGACGTCTGCGCGGTTGGGCGGGGCAGTCCTGAATTGATCCACTCCCGGGGCTGAGAGGGCGAGTCGTATTCGGCAGCCAGCCAATCAGCGTGACGTGCTGCCTCGCCCCGCCTCACGCCGGCGTCCCCGTCACGCGGGAAGGGCGATCCGCTCCCTGGCCTGCCGGGCGCACTTCCGGGCCCGGTCGCGGCGTGACGTCAGCAGGAGGGCAGGTAAGCGCTGGTGTGCTGGTGAGTGGGTGGGCTGGCTGCGTGGAGCCGGAGGTCTGGCCACCGCCCACCTGCGGACGGTGCTTCGGGACAAGTGGGGCTCTGAGGTGCCAGCCGCGTCGCCTGACCCAAGTTCACAGGGCTCCAGCGGCGCCCCCTACCCTGCCCTGGGCCCTACGGTCTCTCCAGGGCCGCTCCGTTTTCTCCTCTGGAAAATGAGACCCGCCAGCCCCTACCTTGCCAAGCCGTGGCGAAGTGGTGACGGTGGGGAGGAGAACTAAAACTGCCACCGCTGACCTCGACCTCGGGCGCTGCCCCGGCACTGCAGCCCACCTGGTCTTTAGGCAGCCTTAGCAGGTGGATGCTTTTTGTAAACCCCCGTTTTACAGGGGGGGAAAGTGAGGCTCACACAGAATCCGCAGATGCCAGATCCAAATTCACACTGTGACTCTGGGCAAATGGGGTCAGTACTCTTTTGACACTGAAGATCGGATTTCCATCCATCGTCCTGTGGCCTTGTCTGTGCCACTCACTGGGGGGGTAAAAACACTTGAAGACACACATCCAGCTCCTGAGAGCTGCGTGTTTAACACTGTGCAAGCACTTCCCGTGCATCACTGCATCCACAGCAACCCCCAAAGTCACCCATGTCCTCATCATCCACTCTTCAAAAGCCCAGGGAAACTCAGACACTGACCAAGGTCACTCAGCTGGTAAGGAGTGGAGCTGGGATTTAAGCCCAGGGAGCTGTGACCCCCCCAAAGCCTGCATGGGCACTTAAGTTTTTTCGTTGGTAAAAAGGACTTTTTAGGGTTAAAAAGACCTTGGAAAAATCCCATTCAAAGGGACACACACGAAAATAGTTTCAAGGAAATGGCAGGACAGGGCATTGCACAAACCCCTACCCCCACTCCCTTAGAATCTTTGCTATCAGCTTCTGAGGCTGGGCAACTTACTAGATCCCACCCCCCATCCCTGTCCTCATTGGTCATCCAGAGATAATAGTAGCATAATGCAGACTAAACTTAGCTGTATCAGCTCCTCCTCCTCCTCCTCTTTTTCCTCTTCCTCCTCTTCTTCCTCCTCCTCCTCAGACCCCACCCTGCCTGCCCCTCAGTGAACATCAGAGAACATGCTCCGTGTGGTGGTGCACACCTTTAATCCCGAAGGCTGAGGCAGGATTCCAAGTTGGAGACCAGCCTGGTCAACTGAGGGAGGTCCTGTCTCAAAAAGGAATGGGGATGTAGCTCAGTGGTAAAACTCCTCTGGGTTCAATCTCCATTATCACCAAAATTAATTTTTAAAAAATCTTTAGAGAGCATATACATAAGTAGGCTAAATAGGTACATAGAGACCAGTCTTCTTGATTCTTGGGCAAGAGCTGATAAACCCAGCCCATTTGATTTTGTACAATATTCAAGTAAAGAATGGTTTTAAATTTTTAAATCATTGTGGGGACAGATCCAAAGAATAATATTTTGTGACAGGTAGTAGCAATTTCAAATTTGAATTTTGAGTCCATAAATAAAATTTTTTATTAGACTGTAGCCATGCCCATCATATGCATATCTTTAGTTTGGCTCTGAGGAGAGCTTTGGGTTGTTGAGCACAGACATTCTGGGCCAAAAATCCAGAAACATTAACTATCTGGCCTTTATTCATTTATTTATTGGTAACAGGCATTGAACCCAGGGGTGCTTAACCACCAAGCCATATCCCCAGCCTTTTTTATTTTCATTTGACACAGGGTCTCACTAAGCTACTTAGGGCCTTGCTAAGTTACTGAGGCCTGCTTTGAATTTGTGATCCCCCTGCCTCAGCCTCCCGAGCCACTGCCCGGATTAGAGGCTTGGGCCACCTGGCCTGGCTGTGAACTCTTTAATATAAACTAGAACTTCCTTTTATTTGACCTAAAAGTCTTTCCTGTAAACCCTGGGGGTAGTCTGCCGCCTCCAGCCTGCACATTTAGTACCTGGGTCACCTCAGTGGACACTTCTGAAACCTCCATCAGTTGTTTCATTCAGTCTCCAGTCAGCATCCACTAGGGCCAGGCCCTGGGTGGGGTGCGCACGGCACGGGCCACCTGACCGAGATGACAGCCTATAAGGTGCATTAACAGCATGTGGCCTGTGGAAGAGCATTCAGGGCAGAGGAAAGAAAACAAAACCCACGTCTTCAGTGCTGAGGTGCAGCTCTGGTGGAGCGCTGGCCCAGCATGCACGAGGCCCAGGTCCCATCGCCAGCTCTGCAGAAACCAAAAAGGAGGGGCAGAGGAAGAGTGTGGCGGGCCAGCTGCACTGGGCCTCTGAAGACGGCCAGGAAGCCAGCGCTGGGACTCAGGACCCAGAGGGAGACAGACAGCTCCAAGAGGCAGGCAGGGCCCATAAATTGATTCTAAAGGAATCACACCTCTTGGCCTCTTTGCAGGGAAGCCTGAGGTCCCTTTGGCAGGCCCTGCAGGAGGGCAGGACTGGTCCACGCAGTGACAGAGGAACTCCAGGTTGACCGCCTCGAGGGCGAGGACCCTAGACAGCTCCCAAGATGGTGAGTAGACAGCCTGGTGCTCCCTGTGGTTTGCCCTGGGTCTTGTGGGGTCCCCAGAGTGGCCCTGTCCTCGTCCTCCACAAGCTCTAAGGCCGTCATTTTTTCCCATATTTTTAATCGGTGCATTTTAATTGTGCCTGATGGTGGGATTCTGCGTAATTGGTGATTTCAACTCCAGATTGTGATTTTTTGGTGTGGTAGGCATGAACCTTCATTATGCACTAAAATGGTCACCCAGGGACTTTCTTTGGGTGGTGCTGGGGGTGGAACTCGGCTTCACATGTGCCAAGCAAACACTCTGCCACTGAGCTACGTCCCTAACCTGGGCTACGTTTTTGAAATCTGTCATCTGTTGATGGACACTTGGGTCATTTCCGTCTGCCGGTTGTTGAGAGGTGTGTTCCTGGAGTGTGTGTCTCCTGGGCTTTGTGTTTCCTTTCCTGGGAGCTGCTGAACGGCCCAGTGTCCAAGCACCATGCCCAAGTGGGTCCTGGTGTCCATACTTTTGAAGCACCTCAGGTGGCCGTACAGTCAAATTGCACAGCCAGGTTTGAGAAGCCGCGCTCTGAGGGGTCTTTAGGTCCATTGGGCGGGTGATGCCAGCATTTACAAGGACATGTGCCAGTGCCAGCATTCGTGATCCCTGATGAGACCTGGGCTTCAGCTGCATCACGGGTGTGTCTGCACAGTGGTGATGTTAAAAGCGGAAGCGCTTGTCTTACTGTGGCGAAGACACCGAAGGTCAACCCGTGCCGTGTCTGCGCGCCTGCCCACGTTCCAGCCTAGCAGGGAGCGCACCCTCAGATCCCAGGGTGACTGGGGCCCTCAGCATCAGGAGATGGGCTCACAGGAATACCATGGCCTGTGGCGAGATTCACTTGCAAAATCTCCAGTGTGGTTTTCACTCCGAGCTTTCAAGCACATGACTTTTGCACTGTTGTAAAGACAAAAATCACTAGTCCAGGGCCTGGGGCTGCAGCTCCATGGTCAAGCACTTGCTATCGTGAGTGGGACCACTGTAAGCCAGTGGCCCTCTGCGTTTCTGACTGTTAGCCATGGTCCCCAAACAGTGAAGTGTGAGACTCCGCACCTGTGGGACTTCCCAGTGCGGCCACAGAGGACCTGTCACCAGGTAGCCACTGCCTGGTCAGACACTGGACCCGGTCCTGTAGGAGGTCCTGTCCCTGGAGGCGGCACGGGCAGGTCTCCTGCAGGCCCTCTCCAAGTCACGGCTCTTCTGCTTTCCAGGGTGAAAGGAAAGGTGTCAACAAGTACTACCCTCCGGACTTCAACCCCGAGAAGGTAAGAGCGGGCTCCCTGCCTCCTCCACGTCCCTCAGCAGAGACTCACGCTGTGCCCTGAACGTGGGGCCAGGATGGGAGCCCCAAGGTCTGCTCTAGAGTCTTCTTCATCCCTGGTGACGTGTGGCTGTCCTCAGTGACCTTGCCATCTGTGCCTGAGGGGGCTGAGCACACGGACTCTGGGTCAGATCAGTGCCCTCCCGGCCCCAGCTCCTGCACCTGGAACCTTTTCCTCCTTCTGACCCGAATCTCCTATATTCCTTGAAGCTTCTTGCAGAGGTCTTCCCTGATCACTGGCTCATTCTCCACTGCATCACCTGCTGCTTCTCTTTAATCTCCACCGCATTTTAACTCTTGGCATGTGATTCATCTCCCCAGCTAGAACGTCCTCTCCCCAGGGCAGGGGTGTTCATCTGACTGATGGCCGCCTCCCCATCCCCATGCAGAAGGCACTTAAGTTAGGCCCAAGGACCCTAGCACGCGCTCCCGGGCCCGGCACTCCTCCTTTCTGGAGTGGTGACTCTGAAGGAAAGTACAGCCTGACTCACAGAATCCTTGGGTGATTCATGAGGTCACTCACGCACTGCGGTCCTTTCTCCCAACCCTCCCACCAGACCTGCAGGTGATAGTGAGCAGTGGCCCCGCTGATACACGGGGAAACTGAGGCCCGGAAGGGCAAACTGAGCTTCTTGCCCACGTCACTCCCTCAGCTCAGAAACGGGAGCAGGACTGTCGGCCCTCCCAGCGGCCCTCCACCTGCAGGTCCCCTGTCCCTGGATTCACCAACTGCAGACTGAGAACCTCCAGGGAAATCCAGCGGCTTCTGTGCCGAGCATGCCCTGTGTTAGTTTCTTGTGCTGATTTAAGCACAAGAAATCAGCTACCCCAATTTATATCAGACTCAAACACACACAGATGGGGTGTCCCTGGGGCCCGGGAGCCTACCCTGGGGATACGGAGGGACAGCTGAAGTCCTGATTCCAGGTCCCCTGCTTCCCTGAGACCTCTGTGCCTCCCCTGCCGCCTCTGACCACCCCACCCCACACACAGGGTAGGACAACCAGGCCTCTCTGCCCCGCCGGCCTCTTGGCCCAGAGCAGTGGGCCGCAGAAGACCTGAGCTGCCCGCCCCGCAGCGCTGACCTCTCGCTCTTGCCCACAGCATGGCTCCCTCAATCGATACCACAACAGCCACCCGCTTCGGGAGCGGGCCCGGAAGCTGTCCCAAGGCATCCTCGTCATCCGGTAAGACCCTGGCACCACCCTGGACCACCAGGGGCGCCCTGCCCTGTGCACCCTGGCCTCAGGCTCAGCCCCTCTCATGGGCCCAGTGCTGTGGGGCCCTGATTCCGTGAGGCAGAAAGCCCCGTCTCGGTCCACTTCTGCCACACGACAGAATCAACACCGTCAGTGCCGGCCCGTCCGCAGGCCTCTGCTGGGCATGGAGGGCAGGCCCGGGCCCTCCTGTGTCTTGGGGAGTTCCTGGGAAGGACTGGCAGGTCCTGTACGGCTGGACTCTGCCTCCAGCACACGAGCCCGGCCTCCTCTGTCCTCCCGGCGCAGTGCGTGGTCTCCAGAAGAGGAAGCAGACGCCCGCCAGGCCTCCGGAGGCCGAGGTCCACACTTGCCACGCTGTCCCTCCCTTGTGTCCCACTGACTGCCCAAAGCAGGCCTTCACTCCAGGGCTGCGGCCACAGACTCCCCTCTGGACAGGAGCCTAGAGCCACAGTGCAGAGACCTGCAGGACAGGGAGGCAGAGTCAAGCCAGGCCAGGTGCGGTGGCCACCCCGGTGGTCCCAGCTGCTCAGGAGGCTGAGGGAGGAGGCTCACTTGAGCCCCAGGAGTTCAGGGCCAGCCTGAGCAGCGGAGCAAGACCCTGCCCCACGAGCCAAAGCCAGATCCCCCTGTGTGTGGCTGCTGGAACTCCGCATCGTGTGCAGCCAGGGGAACGGGAAGTTGCGCTCCATTTGTGTACAACAGAACGCATTCTGCTGGCGTGTATAACTAACGAGGATAAAAAAATAACATCTAGGAGCAAAAAGCAAAAAGAAATTATCTGTTTCTGTAGATTCGAGATGCCGTATAACATATGGTGCGACGGCTGCAAGAACCACATCGGCATGGGTGAGCTGCGGCCCGCCCCCTGCCCTTCCCCTTCCCCCCTGCTCTTCCCCCTGCCCTCTCTCTCTGCCTTTCCCCCCTCAGCCCTGCAGACAGGGAGCCACTTGCATGCTGGGCACTGGGAGGCTCATCTCCCCTGGGAACTCTAATCAGGAACTGGGGAACAGACACCCAGGTTGCAAAGCCATTAAGTCTCTGGGCCCTTGGTTGAAATCCCGTCTCTGCCACTTCTCACCTGGCTGACCCTCAGCAGGAGACTAGCCTCTGTGCCTCAGTTTACCTGTCTGTAAACAAGGGCCCACCTGGTGTGACACACGGAGCTTGACACAGCACGTGGTCCGTGCGGAGGGCTGGTGCGGGCCAGCTTCCAGCATTCTCACTGCTGCCATTATCACCGGACCCTGGGGGGGCACAGGAGCAGGCGGGAGGGCTCAGCCTCTGTGAGGCCTTGGGCAGGGCCCTGGCTCTCCCCGCTCAGCAGGGAGCACGCATCAGCTCTGACTCCACACGTGGGGGCTCTTTGAGTTCAGTTGATTTGCTTGAGTGGCTCACAGAACCAGGAAATGTGACTCAAACGTGGAGCCTGGCCCGGTGGCCCACACCTGTGATCTCAGCTGCTCGGGAGGTGAGGCAGCAGCAGCACAAGTTGGAGGTCAGCCCGCGCAACTTAGTGAGACCCTGTCTCAGAGTAAAAACGAAAGACTGGGGGTGTAGCTCAGCGGTAAAGCACCCTCGGGTTCAGTCCCCAGCACAAAAACAATAATCTGCACACACTATTTATTAGTTCTGGGGACGCTCAGGGGAGCACGCACTCCCGAGCTCACCTCGCACAAGTGAGGCCCTGGGTTTGATCCCAGCCGCCAGGGAAGCAGAGCCGCGTGGGATGAGGGAGTGGGAAGGGGCCTGAGCTCCCGGGGTGCCACCTCCAGGAAGCTCGAGCTTCCAAACCCTGGCCCTTTGGTTCCTGCAGAAACATCACTGCGCGGCGTGTTTGTGACAGCAGGCCTGCCTCCCGCTTCCTCCTGGCCCCTCAGCATTCCTCCTCCGGGTGTAGGGCAAGACCCTGGGGGTGGGGAGGTCTCGTGACCCCCCGTTGGACAGGGCTGGGTAAGAGTTTCTTCAGGGCCAGCTCCAGAGCAGAAAGGCTGGGGAGGGGTAGAGGTTGAGTGACCCACGGCAGGGGGAGAGATTTTCATTTCTATGGGCCATGGGAGGAATTAGGAGCTGGGGACCACGGAAGAAAACCCAGATGCCTGTGTCGTAATGCTGTGGTGGGAAGCCCGAGCATCCTCCAGGACTCGGCCGAGGGGTGAGCGCCTGCGGCTCACCAGCCCTCTGCACGGCCCCTGGCCAGAGCAGCTCCCCGTGCAGGGGTCAGCAGCTGTGGGCAGGAGGCCCAGCCCTCGCTCTAGGGCCTCAGAACTGCAGGAGGAAGGGGACAGGCCACCTCGTTGTCAAAGTCCCATGTCCCTCTAATCAGACCCAGCTGGGCACCTACCTCATAAGCCTCCAGGCACTTAGAGGACAGAGATTGCCCAGGGGCTGGTTGTGGTTCCTGTCCCAAGACAGGAGGGGAAACCGGGCCTCAGCCTGGCGCCAGGCTGCATCCCAGAGCCTGAACTAAAGCAGCCGCCCAGGAAAGTAAACCGCAGGCCACACCAGCCACCAGCCCGCTCTGCCTGCCAGGTGCAAGCCTTGAACAGAGTCAGAAATACCGACTACCTGGGGCTGGGTGGTCGGTGGTGGGCTGGACTCACACCCGGGTTTTAGTCCCCAGTTCCTGTTAGGAGTCCCCAGAGTCGACGCTCAGTGGCAGAGCACTTTCCTGCATGTGTGAGGCCCTGGGTTCCATCCTCAGCACCACACAGAAATAACGAATCGGATAGTTTCATTGACAACTAAAAAAAAATTTTAAAAAGAATACAGATTACCTAACTAGAACAAGAAAGTCTGACTGTTTTTCTAAACAGGTAATAAAAGCCAAGCCTTCTTACACACCTGCCGAGTGCCAGCCCTGTCCACCCCTGTGCCCTCTTCTGGCTGGCTTCAGGGGCCCCGGGAAGCAGGCGGTGGATCCTGGGAAACAGGCCCAGAGGGCAGGGCGCAGCCTGAGTGCCTTGGCCGGTGGTGGAGCCCCACTCAAACCCCGGCCCTCTGGCTCCGGCCCACCTCTGTGGCTAGAGCACCTGTGGGTGCAGCCAGGACCCCCCCTTCCCACGTGGGTGTCTGTGCCCTCCCGAGGCCCCTCCAGTGCTGGGCCTGCCTGTCCCCATCCTGAGGAGACACGGGTCCCAGCCTGAGCCTCGTTCCCTGCCCTCCCAGGTGTGCGGTACAATGCAGAGAAAAAGAAAGTGGGCAACTACTACACGACCCCCATCTACAGGTAGGAGCGCCTGGCACCGGGAACAGTGTGGGCCAGGTTAGGGGACCACAAAGGGGGAGCTTTGCCCCCTCCTTGGGCCCCTCTCTGTAGAGCTCCCGAAGCCCCTCCCCACAGTCAGGCAGGCCTGCCCCTCCCCCGGGTCCTCCAGGGCTCCCGACCCCCGGTGTGCCTCTGTCACCACCCTCACAGAAGCCTTTGCTAAGTGGCACTCACCTGCTGACAGTGTGCGGTTGTTGGACCCCTCTGTGACTCGTCCCCCTCTGGAGCATCAGCAGTGGCACATGCCTGTAATGCCAGCCACTCGGGCTGCAGGCAGGAGCATCACAAGTTCAAGGCCAGCTTCACTCCCACTGAGCAGCGTAGCGAGACCCCATCTCAAAACCAACAGGCCTGGGGTGGCTCAGGTGCAGCGCTTGTCCGCCGAGCAGGGAGGGCCAGAAAAGGAGCAGGTTGGCTTGCTCCACTGCCCTGCAGCGTCCCCAGCAGCTGGCACCAAGCCTGGCACAGAGCAGCCTGTCTCAGGTTGTTGAGTGAGCGAGCTCGTGCACGAGGAAGTGGAGGCGGAGAGACATCGATGAAGGAGTGAAGGAGCCGGCCTCTGCCTGGCCTGTGCCTGGCCTGTGCTTTCCTCCTGTTGGCCTTCTGCGGTGCTGGGGATGGAACCCGGGCCCTGATGCACACAAGCCTGTGCTCCACCCCTGAGCTGCTCCTGGGACCCAAGGTGGCCTCTTTGTCAGAAGGGCACTGGGGGTAGGACCACACCTCACCCCTCGCCCTCCTCCTAGACACAGCCCGAGTGCGTGGTCGGTGCCCAGCGAGTCCTTACTGGGTATCGCAGGTGGGTGGAAGGAAGCGAATGGGGGCCCTGGGCGTCCTGGGTGTGACCACAGCATCCGACTCCTGCCCGTGCCCTCACCCAGGTTCCGGATGAAATGCCACCTGTGCGTCAACTACATCGAGATGCAGACAGACCCCGCCAACTGTGACTATGTGATCGTGAGCGGCGCCCAGCGCAAGGAGGAACGCTGGGACATGGCAGACAACGAGCAGGTGCTGACCACAGGTGAGCGACACCTGCCCGCCGTGTGCCCAGCTGCCTGGCCCTGGCCCTGAGCGGAGCCCAAGCTGCACTGTCGTGGTCCCTGCAGAGCACGAGAAGAAGCAGAGGCTGGAGGCAGACGCCATGTTCCGCCTGGAGCACGGGGAGGCGGACCGCAGCACGCTCAAGAAGGCTCTGCCCACGCTGAGCCACATCCAGGAGGCCCAGAGCGCCTGGAAGGACGACTTCGCCCTCAACAGCATGCTGCGGCGGAGGTTCCGGGTGAGCGCCCCGGTCAGGAGCACGGGGCAGGGGCTCTGGGGGGCCGTCAAGGCAGGCGTGGAGCCGGAGAACATGGGTCGTGAGCTGGGATCAGCCAGCACCCCACCACACCCCAGGTCATTTCACCCCAGAGCCTCAGTGTCCTCCTCTGACCCTCGGGTCACTCCCGTCCTGCCAGAACAGAAACACAGGCGGCGACATGGCCACAGCAGGCCTTGACTGCTCACAGTCCTGAGGCTGGCAAGCCCAGGACCAAGGCCCGGGTGGATGAGTGTCCAGGGAGGGCCATTCCTCACAGCGCTTTCTGGCTGTGTCCTCGCATGACGGGGACAAACAGGTTCCTAGGCCCAATTTCCTCGGCATTGACCCATTACCTCCCCGATAACTAATCGGTTCCCCAGCGACCCCACTTGATGCTGTGACGTGCCCTCGGATCTACGCCTCCCCCTGGGGGCCTCCCCCTCTGCCCCTGGTGCCCCTGGGCCACGCAGCCTCCTCGCCCCTCCTGGTCATTCCGAGCACTCCTCTGCCACAGGCTCTGCATGAGCTGCTCCTTCTGCTCCTAGAAGAACCCACAGAGTTCCTGCACACAGAGGTCTCCCCAGAGGTGACTTCCCGGGGAGACGTCCCCTGGCCCTCCACGCATTCCCCACCGACCTCCCTGCCTCTGCCTCCCCGCGTCCCCATGTCCTTCTCTGTCCTCCTGCTTTGCCCGCTGACCCACTGCAGTGTCAGCAAGGGCTTCTGATTTTTGTTTCTTGGTACCAGGGATTGAGCTCAGGGGCACTCGACCACTAGCCCCTCCCCAGCCCTATTTTGTATTTTATTTAGAGATGGCGTCTCACTGAGTTGCTTAGGGCCCTGCTTTGGCTGAGGCCGGCTTTGAACTTGTGATCCTTCTGCTTCAGCCTCCTGAACCAGCACAGCTGGGGTTATAGGCGTGTGCCAGGCCACCACACCTGGCTCAGCGAGGGTTCTTGTCTACCCGATGTTGGGTTCCCAGAACCTAACAGGGCCCTGCCAAGGTGGCATCCTGTGCACACAGCTGCACCTCGCCCCACGACAGGAACGCATCCTGAGCAGTGCTAATGGATTCTCTGCTGTGCTACATCAGGCCTTGACTAACCCAGAGTTGATGGCTAGATGAGCCACACACGAGGCCTCTTGCCACAGGAGGTGCGGCCAACCCAGTTCGTGACGCACCAGGTGCCGAGGCTGCAGCGGGCACGGAGGCTGCATCAGAGTGAACTCGTGATAGTACATAGACCCAATTCAGTCCAAGTGCAGCGCAGTGTGCACACCTGTAATCCCAGCCGCTCACAGCCTGAGGCAGGAGGATCCCAAGTCCAAGGCCAGCCTGGACAACTTAGTGAGTCCTGTCTCAAAATAAAAAGGGCTGGGCCAGACACAGTGGCACACGCCTGTAATCGGAGCAGCTCAAGAAGCTGAGGCAGGATCGTGAGTTAATATCCATCCTCAGCCACTTAGTGAGGCCTAAGCAACTCGGCAAGACCCTGTCTCCAAGTAAAATACATTTTTTTAAAAGGGCCGGGATGTGGCTCAGTGGTAGAGAACCCCTGGGTCCAATCCCAGTACTAAAACAACACCACCAATAAAAATTGTACTCTCTAAAATAACAAACTGCTGCTCAGGAGGCTGAGGCAGGAGGATCACTTGAGCCAGGGATGCAAGACCAGCTTGGGCAACCCCGAGACCCCATTGCAAAAGAGAAAGGGAAAGCACAGTGTAGTAAACATGCAAGTCAGCGAAGGTCACTAATCACTCATCAGCACTGTGTGCTGCAGGTGGCCACACCCTGTGCTTCCCTCCAGCTGGACGGTGGATGTTTACTTACACCAGCGTCACCACCAGCACAGGAGGGGCATGGCAAGAGGAAGCCACAGTGGCTGTGCCACCAGGCAGCAGGTGTTTCCAGCCCCATCCATCTTACAGGGCCACAGCCGTCCCTGGGCAGCATGGCCATCTTGTCTAATGGACAATAGAGGGGCTCTGGTTTGTGTGTCGGTGACAGTGGCATCTCACGTGGAGGGGGAGCCTGAGACCCAGTTGCTGGAGCGGGTCAGGGAGAGGCGGGCTGTGACCTGACCCCCTGCTGCTCCCTCACAGGAAAAGAAAAAAGCCATCCAGGAGGAGGAGGAGAGGGACCAGGCCCTGCAGGCCAAGGCCAGCCTGGCCATCCCCCTGGTGCCCGAGTCGGAGGACGACCGCAGGCTGGCCTCCCTGCTCAGGTTCCACACCCTGGACTGTGAGTTGGGGGCTCCCGGGAGTGGGGCAGCCATAGGAGGGGTGCAGAGGTGGGGGTGCCTAGCCGTGAGGGGTGTGGCGGCCACGAGGAGCTATTTAATTTTTGGTGCCAGGCTTCGCTGGCGCCTGCTCCTCCGCGCCCTACCTGAGCCACACCTGTCCCTTCTTCAATCCCCCCCCCCAGCCTACGAGGACAAGCAGAAACTCAAGCGCACGGAGATCATCAGCCGCTCCTGGTTCCCCTCCGCCCCGGGCCCCGGCAGCGCCAGCAGCAAGGCCAGCAGCGTCCTGAGGAAGCTGGCCCAGGGCCGCAGGTGCGCACCCAGCAGCTGCCCCATCACCGTGGAGGACCTGGGCATCGTGCGGCGGCCTCGAGACGTCCCTGGGAGCCCCCAGCCCACGGCCGAGAAGGCCAAGTCCAGGGAGCCGCAGGCACCTCAGGGGACCACCCAGGACAGACCCGCGTCCTCCCAGGACGGCTCTGAGGAGACAGCGAACCCCAAGACCTGCGGACAGCCGGGGCAGGAGGGGAAGGGTCAGGACAAGTCCCGGCCCCCATCAGGCTCCTCCCTGGAGGCACCCGACCCTCCAGGCACACTGCAGCCCGGCAGCCTGAGCTCCTCTCTGGTGGCCGACTACTCTGACTCCGAGAGTGAGTGACGTGGACTGGACCCCTCCGGGGCCATTAGAGCACCCGAGGCCCTGGCCCACACCCCGAGCGCCCCTCGCCGCCCCTCCCCCTTGCCCTCCTCAGCGATGGATTGCTATTTATTTGGTCCTGGTGAGGGCCTCGTGCCTTGTGGGACCCGCATCCCCACATTAAAGCCCTGTTCTCTGCCCGGCCTTGGGTCGCTGGACAGGCCCAGGGGCTGTCCGTCCTGCTCTGTCCATCTGGCTCCCCGGTGGTGAGGGTTTCCAGGTGGTGGCACAGATGGGCTGGGGTCAGGCACCTTCCTGGAAAAGGCAGCACCAGCTGAGGGTGGAGGGTGGAGAGGGGTCCAAGCAGAGGAACCGACAAGATGGCCAGAGATGGGGCCCAGGCGCCCGGATCCAGAGCAGGTGCGGGAGGGGCTGTTGGTCACCATCCTCCAGCACAGGGACACACGGAAGGGTCTTGAGGAAGGCCCCAGGGGTTCTCTGAAGGAAAGGGGGCAGAAGGTGGCCCAGAAAATGACATCTACAAAGGGCATGTGGCCCGCCACCTCCCCTCAACCTGCAGAAAGACCATCTTATAAACACTGATTGAGCACCTAATGTTTACATCCACATTCTTGCCACTGGAGACAGCAGTGAAATTTAAGGCCTCCTGTCCATGTCACACTGAGATCCAAGCCAAATTGGCATTTCCCCCACCCCCTTCAGGGAAGTGGCACCCTTGGCCACGCCTACTTCCCACTGTGTTGCCCAACGCTGGTGCCTGTCTCCGATGCCAATCCAACAGTGGGGACTGGTTTTGAGAAAAAGGAGAAACGGGTTTTATCCTTTGCTAGCAAAGGAGAAACATGGGCATCTCCAGTCCCAAAGGCTGTGATTCTGCCCACCAGCAGGCAGGGTGCCTTTAATGAAGTGCGTCAAGAGTGACATTCTCTGTCTGGAGTGGTCATTCACCTGTTAATTTGGGAGACAATTTCTGAGCTCTCCCAGGCCATCCCCGAGGTCTGGAGGACTTCAGTCCTGCCGGGCGTGAGCTCAGGGACAGAGGCCTGTGGCCGGGATGGGAAGAAGGGTAGCCCTGCTTCCCCTGAGATTAGGACGGAGGAGAAAGGTGTCCCGTTAAAATCTCAGTAGCCGCGGGAGAGCAGCAAGGGCTGTGCTTCAAGCATCAAGTGGACACTGTTCCACTGGGATGGACAGGGCTTAGGGCAGCGTTGAAGAGCCTGCCGGTTCCTTGGAGTCCCTAGTCCTGGAGTCCCCCAGGTAGTGGCCTCGGCCTACACCCTAGGATTCTGGGATGATGACTCCAGCTCCTGTCAGCTGGACGCCACATGCTGGCCCTGTCGGGGGTGCCTTGCCAGTTAAAGGGTCAGGCCCAGGGGGCCCTGCCTGCAGAACCCAGGGGACTTCAGCACTCGGGCCTCCTTCTCCTGAAACCCAGAAACCTCAGAGGCCACTGCGCTGTGCGGTCAGAGGCCAGGGCCAGGCGCTCCGCAGACGCTGCGTTTTGGGGTTCCAAGGGGCCGGGTAACTGGCGAGGGGCTGGGGTGGCTTCTGCCACATGGACTCGGGTCTGGGAGTCCCTCGGGTAGGGCTGGAATGCGCATGTGCAATCTTCCGGGAGGTCCCGCCCCGCGTGCGCGGTGGCTGCAGCGGTGGTGACAGTGGCGGTGGAGCCATGCCGCTGGAGGCCATCCGCTACTCGCGGGGCTCGCTGCAGATCCTCGACCAGCTGCTGCTGCCCCAGCAGAGCCGCTATGAGGCGGTGGGCTCGGTGACGCAGGCCTGGGAGGCCATCCGCGCCATGAAGGTGGGGCCGCGCGGGGACGGTGAGGCTGGGGGCGGGGGAGTTAAAATCTCAGTAGGCGCCTCTGCAGCCACTGCAGCCCCTGCCGCCCTGTGCCACAGGTGCGGGGCGCCCCGGCCATCGCCCTGGTGGGCTGCCTCAGCCTCGCCGTGGAGCTCCAGACGGGCGCCGGGGGGCCGGGTCTTGCCCCTCTGGTGGACTTCGTGCGCGACAGGCTGAGCTTCCTCGTGACCGCCCGGCCCACTGCTGTCAACATGGCCCGCGCTGCTCGCGACCTGGCGGACGCCGCAACTCAGGAGGCGGAGCAAGAGGGCGCCACCGAGGAGGCGGTCCGGGAGAGGTAGGGAGCCCTGCGCCGGTCACCCCGGCAACAGACGCTGTTGGCTTTGTGTACGCATTTTACAGATGGGGAAATAGAGGCACGGCATTCTTACGTCCCTTGTCGGGTCCCACAGGTGACGCCACGGATCTGGGCCCTAGAGCTCTTGACCTCAACTATGCAAACCCCACCCCTCCCATGCCCAGCTCACCTGTGCCCATGTGGCTCTCCTGGTTCCCTTGATTTTTGCTTTTGAGGAACTTTGTTTCCGGTCTTCATCTCTTCCCTGCCTTCTTCCTTTCTTCCTCTTCCCGGTGGCTCCAACCACACCTTTCTCCTCAGTGTTCCTTGCCTATGCCAGGCTCACTCCTGCCTCAGGGCCTTGGCACATGCACTTGCTACAAGCCACCTAACCCCAGAGCTTGGGGTTGCAGGTCTCTGCCTTCCCCGACCGCTCTTCATAATACAGCTGGCCCCTGCTCTCTGTTGGGAATTCTGCTGCCTCCTCCTTCATTTTATCTGCTCATCCTGCCCCCCAACCCCAGTGTCAGCTCCACAGGGACAGATTTTCATCTTGTTTACTCCTTTGCCCCCTCCCTAGCATTGGCACACCAGAAATAGTGAGCACACACTGTGAGCATAACGGGTTTGTGCCGGTGGCAGAACGTCCAGCCTCACAAGAGCAAGAGGCCTGAGCAGTAGGCCCCACACAACAGCCCTGGGCAGAGGCAGGACCAGCCTGGACCTGGCAGCTGGCGCTAACCCTCCTTGTCGGCCCAGAGTCATCCGCTGCGCCGAGGACATGCTGGAGAAAGACCTCAGAGACAACCGGAGCATCGGGGACCTGGGAGCCCACCACATCCTGGAGCGGGCAGCCCCTGGCGGGGGCAAGGTGACCGTGCTGACCCACTGCAACACTGGTGCACTGGCCACTGCTGGCTACGGCACGGCCCTAGGTGAGTGGTGTCTTCAGGGACAGGAGAGGGCCTTTGTTTTTTTTGGATGGAAAAGAAACTCAAACCACTTTATCCACCAAAAACAGTGAATGTAGGTGGTTGGCATCAGGTATAGCTCGACCCAGGGCTCAACCAATGACATAAGGAGCCACCTGCCCTGTCCTTAGCTTTGCTCTCATTTATCTTCATCCTCTGGGAGTGGGCACGGGGGACTCCCAGGGCTCAGATCACAAGAAAAAGAGCCAAGAGGATCAAAATTCTCCTTGTATCTCAAGATTCCTGATAGGGTCACCTGCTCTTCCAGGCCCGGTCACTTAATGGGCCTGGACTGAGGCTTATGCCTGGAGAGTGGGTAGGATGTGGACTCCAAAAGGACAGGAGAAGGGAACAGCCTCCCTGCAGGTGAGATTGGGGTGGCTGTGACCAGGAGGGGTGGGCAGTGTCAAGGCAGCAGGTCCCCTTGACGCTCCGGATCCGGGAAGCTTCCTGGCTCTCTGGGCCCCTCCTTTAGTCCTGGAACTCGGGTCTCATAAAAGACTCCTGCCTTTGACTCATCCACTCAACCAGCTGTTGAGTGGACCTCAGACATGCCGGATACGCACCCTCCCGCAGCACCACGTCCCCAGCCCTGGTTATTTTGAGGCAGGGTCTGCTAAGTGCCCAGGCTTGTCCTGAACTTGCAGTCTCCTTCCTCAGCCTCCCAAGCAGCTGGCACTGTGGGCGTGCACCACCATGGCACTCCAGTGCCCTGCTGCAACCAGCATGCATTAAGCACCTGCTGTGTGCTGGGCACTGGAGTCCACAGGGAACAAAGCAATCAAGGTCTCTGCCCTAGGGAGGCCCCAGGGAAGTGGGAGGGGCTGACTGCGGGAAGGACAAATAGGTGTTAGCAGGGACAGGACTGCGCTTGGTGAGGTTTTGGGGATCCCCTCCCAGCCTAGGCGCCTGTGTCCCTCACCACTGGGCAACCCTGTCCTTCTGCTGCCCCCACAGGTGTGATTCGCTCCCTGCACAACCTGGGCCGCCTGGAGCGCACCTTCTGCACAGAGACGCGGCCCTACAACCAGGGAGCCCGGCTGACGGCCTTTGAGCTGGTTTATGAGCACATCCCCGCCACCCTCATCACCGACAGCATGGCGGCCGCCGCCATGGCGCACCGGGGAGTGTCAGGTCAGCGAGCTGCGTGCGGGCAGGTGGGCAGGGCTCGGGGCAGCCAGGACCAGGTCATGTGACCCCCAGCCTCTCTCTCCCAGCCGTTGTCGTGGGAGCCGACCGCGTGGTCGCCAACGGTGACACAGCCAACAAAGTGGGCACCTACCAGCTGGCCATTGCCGCCAAGCACCACGGCATCCCCTTCTACGTGGCCGCGCCCAGCTCCTCGTGCGACCTCCGCCTGCAGACGGGCCAGGAGATCCTCATTGAGGAGCGGCCCGGCCAGGAGCTGACCGACGTCAACGGGGTCAGGATCGCAGCACCCGGTAAGCCGGGGGCTCAGACAGGAGACGCTGGCACCTGAGCACTTCTGGGGGTGGGTGGCGTGTAGGGCATGGGCAGCCTGCTGGGGGGGGGGGCACAGGCAGCTCCGTCAAGCCATTCCTTACAGCAGGGCACTCTGAGTTCAGGTGAGAGTTTGCAGTGAGTAACGTGGTGTCCTGTATCCTCGCGTGACCTCCTCACTTGAGCAAGAAACAAGAATAGCCCCGCCAGCTGTCTCGGAGGAAACTGAGCCAGGCTGAGGTGTGGCTGTGGTAGGGCCCCAGCCCAGCATGTGGGAGGCCCTGGGTTCCATCCCAGGGCTGCAAAGGAAAAAAAAAAAA